AATAGTCTGTCTATATATTATTCTACAAATTTTATATTAAATATTATATTTGCAAGCCAACTACAAATTTTGCTTATTTTAAATCTCTATATATGCAATCTACTTGTATCACAAAAACATCTTTAAAACTACATTTGTTCAAAGTTCTTAATCTTTATCAATATTCTTAGAAATATTTTATTTTTAACAAAAGATTTACTAAAGTTTTCTGTATTTTACATATAGCTGATCTAGCTTTATATAATATGCTATAGCAAGATGTAATGACTTAGTAAAGTGAATAAGTTGTTAACTTTTCAATTTGTAAGTTGTGAGTTTAAAACTTACTAACAGCAAAAATTTAGATAATTATTTATATAATATATAGATAATATTACAGCAACAGTATTTTGTTAATTAGTTGGAATAAGATACTTGTAACTATAGTCACACCAATATGATAACAGGTTATAAAGCATTTGTATAACCTTAGTTATACAAAAAAATGCAAACCAATACTGGACAATACAAACTTAAAATAAGTTTTTGTAGTTGTATAAATTTATAAAACTAGAAAAAACTAAACTTCACTTAAAAATTCTAAGTAGAAAAGTAGCACAGATCTTTAACTGCACTATTGTAAAGACTAAACCTAGAAAATGAATACTAATATAAAGAAATTAGATAGGCAAGAACCTTAAGTAAGAGATATCATCAACTAAACTACCAGATTTTAGATTAGAGGAAAAGAATATCAAGCCAAACTTAATATATCAAGAACAGGTTACAGTTCTTTTTAGCTATCTGAATTAAGAGTCTAAAGACAAAGCAAGAGTATACTAAAAGTACTAGTAATATGCTGTAAAGTTAGTACTAAAATCTGAATAAACTTTGCAAGAATAGCTTTTGTTAATATTCTTTAAAAATAAGTAGATAGTTAACAAAAGAAGCCTTTTGTGTCTTACTAGCAGATGTTATATTCTAAAATATATAACAGCCTAGGAATTAGTACAAAAAAAGTAGATATTATACTATTTAAACAGTATACTAAATATATATAAAGGTATAGTAGTATTTACAAATAATATAACAAATGATCAGAAAGTTTAAAATAGATAATCTTTTAGTAAATTATAGATATAGCATCTAGTATAAAACTCTAAAGTAGAGGTGTAGTAACTTAATGAAATGATCAGGTTGTCAATTTTCAAATAGCAGATCTAGAATTCAAATCTCATAGATAATAAATTTTGAAAAATAGGTCTGTGTTATGATAACTGTCTTTGTCAATTAGTTGAATTAGTGTATTTGTAATCTTTAGTTATACTATTTTGAATAAGAGCTCAAGGCATCTATGCAAAATGTAATATTACACCTACATAGAAGAATGTATAATTAGTGTTATATAAGACTTCAGTGCAAACTTATAATAAGACCATTAGGCACAAAAAGTGAAAAAACTGAAAAGTTGGAAACTTACTTGAAAATCCTAAATAAGAAGATAGCATAAAACTTTTGACAGTGCTTTTTTATACATCTTGTCATCTGGTTTATCTGCCTATTCTTTTGAAATTGTTTTATGAGCTTCTATCAGTCTGACAACACATAATCAACCAGGCCACCAGAATTGCCAGAAGAAAAAAAAAACTAAGATATATTATATCAGGCTATTTAGATTAAAAGTTCAAGGAGTTCTGTCAGTTCTGAGTAGTAGTTAGTAGGGGATAATAGAGAAGATATTAAAAAGATAGGTATTGGGATTTTGGATGAACTTTACAAAAGTATAGTAATTTAATAGTTAGCCCTGACTGCAAGTAATTGTTTAAGCCAAAGTGATACTGAATAAGCTGTAAGTATAGGATATAGGATGCACTAGTAGGTTTAGTACAAAGTTAAACAGAACTTAGTAATTATGGCATATCTTCACTGATTTATTAGAATTATTGGTAGGATGTGATAGATATGGGATTAGAGTATTTAAATAAAAGATCTACAGATAGATTCTAGATATAGCAACTAGTGTAGAACCTTTAAGCAGACTACTTAAATTAGACAATAACTAAAGTTGTACAAGTGGCTAGTTGTATACTTTTTTTATGATTGCCTTTGCATTGTTATATTAACAAATACTAGTCAACTGATATTACCAATAAAATCCTAGATTACATATACTCACCCTAATATTTAAAAAAAAAAATAAAACTCTAGAGTAAGAGTGTAGTGACTTAGTAATTAGATTGTCAACCCTCAAAGTAGTAGGTTGAGTGTTCAAATTCTATTGATAGTAAAAATTTGGATAATTATCTATGTAATATTTGTATTATGGCAACTATTACTAATGATTAGATTAGAATATCTGTAATAGTGATTATACTAGCATAACTGGCAGGTCATAGGGCATTTGTGTAATGTTGAAGTTATATATAAGAATGCAAACTGACAACTAGATAATGCAAACACTAGATAAGTTCTTGTAGCCATGTAAATCTGTTGAAATTAAGTAACAAAAAGTCTATTTGAAAAGATCTGAGTAAAAAGATAGCTAGATTTTTAGCAGCACTACTGTAAAAACTAGTCTGGGAAAACAGATATCAAGATTCTAGTAACCAAACAAGCAAGAACCTCTGTGTTGAAAGTCTTGAAGGTACTACCAACCAGGCTACTAAAATGAACTAGAAAAAAAAAATTTGGGCTGATCTAATATACTAATAGACTGATCATAGTTCTATACAAGCTATCTAAATTGAAAGTCTAGTAAAATTCAAATGTATACTAAAGTATTGAAGTTATGCTATAAAGTAAATACTAAGGTCTAAGTAAACTCTACAAGAGCATAGCGGTTTAATGAGTAAGTTCTAACCACAAGAATTAATTTTGCTATAGTGATATTTAAGTTAGCTATAAAAATAAATACAGAAGGCTTTGAAGAGTTTACCTTAAGGATAAAATAGTTCTAAGGTTAAGATGATGATCTAAGTATCTAAGTATAATCTAGTGAATTAATACAGATTATAGGTTCAAAGAGTTTAAAGTAGAACATCCAAGCAGAGGTATTAAATAAAACAATTGATAAGAAACTTTCAGGCAGACTCTTTAAATAGGTAATATAAAAAAGTTACATATATAGCTGATTATACTTTCTTTTGTAATGGTTTATTGAATCATATTACCAATAAGTGTTAATAAAAGTCAAAAAACCAAAGAGATTAGCTTAACACTAAAAAAATAAATAAATAAAACTCTAGAATAAACTACTTAAATAGATAAATAAAAGTTGCATATGTGACTAGTTGTATTCTCTTTTGTAAAAATAGTGTAAACTAATCTTAATAAAAAGTTAAATAAGTTTACTATAAAGTATGATCTTTAACAAAAAAAAAAATACTATAGCTAGACTAATATTTGCAGTTAAATATATTTTGTTAAACTACTATTATTATACTATTTTTATATTTATAAAGTTTATTAAAATTTTAGTATTTATCTTTTTAATATTTTCTTTTTACTCTAAATTTAACTTTTCTTATTTTGATTCTAACTTTTTAAATTACCAATTTAGATAGCCTAATATGATATCTAATTAAAGATTTTTGTTCTTCAATTTCTTAATATTATACTCTTATTATAAGTTTGTATTAAAGTCTTATATATATATATATATATTGCTTTTGCTAAGGCTGTTAGTTATTGACAACTACTATTTTTATTATAATTTAATTATAGTTATATAACTAGCCACATATACAGCTTTTGATTATTTATTTAAATAGTTTTCTGTAGGTTTTATACTAGTTATTATATTTGTAATCTACTAGAAGATTATCTAATTAAACACTCAGATCTTTATACTATATCTAACAAATAACTACACAAGTTTTTGTATATCTAAGTGCTATCTAACCTAACTTTGACCTTTCTGTTTATATGTTTGTTAAGCTGTTACATATTTCATAGTATATTACTTAACTGTAGAGCTTCAGAAAACCTTTTTACTAACTAACTATCTATATTTAGTTCTTGTTAATAGGACTTATTATTGCAAAGTTTATCCAAATCTTAGTATTACTTTATAGCATATCTTTGTACTTATAGTATATCTTTCTTTTAGCATTAAACTTTCAAATCAAATAGCTTAAAAAGATTATAACCTGTTTTTAGTATATCAGGATTATAATATTTGATATTTTTTTTCTTTGGTTCAAGACTTTCAGTAGCCTAGTTAATAGTATCTCTTATCTATGATTCTTGTTTACTTGATTGATATCTGTTTTTTAAGTTTAGTAATATTGTTGAAAATCTATACTATCTTTTTACTTAAGTATAATGAGTTAAGTTTATAAAATGAAAATTAATTCAGATATAATAGTTTTGGTAATAATAACTGCAAAAAACAGAGATCAATAATAAGCAAGTTTATAACAAAAAGGCAACTAATATACAATTAAGTAACAAATTAAAAAAAGACAATCAGTATTTATTATGCTTATGTAATACAATTATAATTAATGATTGTAATTGTATACCAAAAATTAATAATGCAATTAATAATAATATTAATTAATCAGAGTTATAGTTAAAGAAATTAATTAGTAATATAGTTAATGTATATAATAAATATAGTTATAGTAATATAGTTAATTAATATATATTAAAAAATGTAGTTATAGTGAATTAGTAATAGCCAAATTGTAAGATATAAAAAAAAAAGCAATAAATAAATAAAAAGACTAACCTGAAGCAAAAGAAAAACAGTTATATTTAGTAGCAGTAGACAAAATTTTAAAGTATTGATTACTTTAATACATTTACAAATAATCAAATTGCTATGTTTTAACAACAATTCAATGAGTTTATTAAACTGTTTATAACAAATCAGAAAAGTGTTAATATACAACTTATCTAAATTCTTCAAAACATTCAAGAAAGAACTGTAGTTGAAAAAGTGACTTATGTTTAGGCACCACTATAGGCAAAAGGTTTGGCAGTTTAATTGTTGGTATTTTACAAAAAGAAAAAAGAAAATGTTACAATGTGGCTACTCTAAATTAACTTACTGTATAAAGCATGCAAGATAGAAGATAAGAAACAATTACAATATATAATAACAGAATTGAAGAATATAATACTTTAATAGTATTTTAACAAGATTTAGGCTTATAAAGTACAGAGTTTGTTTAAAAATTAAAAAAGTTTTGCAGATGAAATAACAAAGATGTTTTAAGCTTTACAATATTAATAATACTTGAGACAGCAATTAATAAATATTAAACAAATCTCAACAATACAGGAGTATGCCTTAAGGTTTAAAAATATATTGGGTCAAGTAAAATAAATAGATGAAGCAGATAAAATACTTAACTTCATAAAAGGCTTGAAACTATCAACTAAAGCCAAAGTCAGTTACCAAGTATCTGAAAGTCTTGAGAATGCAATACATTTAGCAACAATATATAATACTGCAATATATATTGTTGATAGAATAAGAAGCTTAGTCTCTGAAGAAATTAAAAGTAATAGCTTTAAAGCTGTCAGTTTAGAAAATAATAAAATAATACCTATGGAACTTAATAGAACCAAAGTAAGAAAATTTTACAAAAATATAAAGAAGAATAAACAGATTGTAAGAAATATAAAGAAAAAGGTGTATAAACAAAAAGGGCTATATTCAAGTATAAACAAAAAAGCCATATAGCAAAAATATGTCTTAACAAACAAACCTCAAACTCTAGAACTTTTTCAAGTACAAATGCTAATATGAAGCAAGTAAACTTGATAGAAAAAGAAGTTAGTGTTTATAGTAAAAAGAAAGAAAAACTCCTATAAATAAAAGAGAAGATCAGTAAAAAAGATGCCTTAATCTTGATAGATTCTAGTGTCTTCAAGAATTTTATTAACATCTAATTTGTAAAATATATTAATTAATAATATATAAAAATAAGTAAAATGCTTGTCTATTCGCTAAAAGCTTTTGTTTCAGTTGATACAGTCAATCAGATTTTTGGAATGATTTCATATCATTAGTAGAGGTCAGAACCAGTTTGTAAAATTTAGGTATAAATCCAGAACAATTTTTTTTTTAATTAGATTTGTTTTAGGTATGCTGCTTGGTATTAAATTTATCATAAATCAGTTTAATCAAAGGTAAATTTTTCATGAACTGAAATAAATAATTTTAGTTAATAAGATTGACTAATTATATTAGATCATGTTTTATTTTGCAGTTTGGTTGTAATTTGGTTTGATTTATTTGATTTAATTCTAATAATTATCTTTTTTATATTATATTTAAATTTGTTTGGATTTTTTAATTTATTATCAGTTTTGATTTTTTTAGTCAGTAGTGAGCTTTGTTTTTGTTTTTTTTTAAAAATTATGGTTTATTTTATATTTGAATTACAATTTCATATGTGTTGGATTTAGTTTGTATTAATTGGATTGTTGGGTTCTGTATATTGAGGTAGTTTTTTTTTTTTAGTAAGTGAAAGATTGTTGGTTTAATTTTTAATAATACTACTGGGGTGCTGTATAAAGAAGTAATATCTAGAAGAGTATATACTAGAGTTACAAGTGAAACTGATAAAACTAAATAGAATAGCAAATAAGAAACTTCATAATGAAACTTGGTAAAACTTAAAATTAGTTTTATCTGCAACTATAGTATATATTAAAAAAATATTTAATAATGCAAGGAATAATTGGTTTAATTATTTAAACAGTATTCTAATACTATTTAAAAAAGATTTATTTAAGTAAAAAGTGTTGCGACCTAGTGAAGTAGATAGGTTGTCAACTCCCAAGTGGCAGGTCTAGAGTTCAAATCCCAGTAACAGTGAAAATTTGCAATTCTTTTTGTGTTATAGCTAACTGTCTTCCGTGATTTGTTGGGATAAGATACCTGTAATCCATGTCATACCAGCATGACTGGAAGGTCTAGGCACTTGTACAACATTATACGAGGGAACACAAACTAATACCAGATGGTGTGAACCCAAGATAAGTCCTTAGGCCATGTAAATCAAGGGAACCAGGTAGGAAGATAGAAGCCTACTTGGAAAACCCAAGTAGAGAGGTAATCCAAAACTTTGACGGTGCTACTATAAAGACTAGACTTATAAAACAGAGCTAGAACTTGTGAAACCAGGCAAATGTGCTGGTCTTTGAGGAGGAACCAGATGAACCAACCAGGCCACCAGAATTTCCAGGTTTCAAAGAAAAAGAGCACATGCCGACAAACATGTGAACCAGAGGTGTATAGTTTCGACCTACCTTTCTGGGCTATTTGAAATGGCAGCTTGGTGGAACTTGAATTGAATACCAAAGTAGTAAAGATATGTTGTGAAGTTAGTACCGAGATTGAGGTGAACTCTACAAGGGCATAGCAGTTTAATGGTATGTCCTGATTGCAAGTGTTGGTCTTAGCCATAGTAATATCAGGTTAGCTGTAAGAATAGGATACAGAAGATTCTGGAAGGTTTAGTACAAGATCAAAGGTTCCTCATATGAGTGAACCACTTTAAAGACTTAGTGACCATGGCATATTTGAACTGGTATTGACTGGGGCATCTTAGTAGGTGTAGGTAGATGAGTGGATATAGGATCAGAGTGGTTAAATAGAGAACCTACAAGCAGGTTCCAGGTATGGCAGCTAGTGTAGAACCTTTGAGTGGACTACTTAAATTAGATAATGACTAAAGTTGTACAAGTGGCTAGTTGTATACTCTTTCTATAGTTGCCTCCTGTGGTTGTAATGCAACTATTAGCTAAATGTACTATCAATAAAATCCTGAGTCGCAAGTACTCATCTTAATATTTAAAAAAAAAAAAGATTTATTTAAATAACTTACATGACAATTTAAGATATTCAACTTGTAGCAGAGGCTCTTGCATAACAAGATAAAAGTAGTAATAGAATATAAATATAGAATATAAATAATCTGAGGGAAAAAGTAAAGAGTATTAGAAGCAATATCATACTATTCAGAGTTAGTTAGAAAATTAAGCATAAATAAGTACAAAAAGTTAAATAATATAATATCCAAACAAATTTTTTTTTAATAAAGAATAATTATATTCAGTTTATTCAAAAAACTTGCATTATTATTTTTTTAGATTTTTTTTTTTTTTTTTTCTCTTAAGCAGTCATGGTAGTACTTTATTAAACCATTTGTAGCTATATTTGTAATTACAGAATATCATTTTACTTATAAGTCTACTATCATCCAGCCACCCAAACGGTACCTAAATGCGACCTGCCACACTAATCCAGTTAGGACTAGAAATTATGACTTGTCTGACCTCTGCTCTACAATAGGATACTGCCAATCTGGAGACATCTTCTCATAGGGAAGAGAAAAACAAAAAAAAGAAAATGATTTTAAAGTTGAAGAAGGGAGAAATAAAAATGGAGAGTAAAATAAAACTAACAAAAAGAAAATGAAACTAATCTATAAGGAAAATAAAGAAAGAAACCTGCTAACAGAATAAAACTCTATTCTACGATTGCTGCTCACTACAATGTTTTCATATTTTTATGAACTATGGCTATTCTCTAGAAACTAGGTTCTCTTAACTAGAATGAAAACTGTATTCATTTGTAGGACAGAGTTCGAGCCAAGCACTTTCCATATAGGAGAATCTTCAAGTAGATGGGGTACTGTGTCATGGTTTGGAGTGCACTTAAGTGGTCCAATTCTTCATAAACCCCTGTATTCATTTTTTTTAAAAATATTATGCACATGGCCTCAGAATATATGCATATCTCAATATATTTTTGGTCTTTCTGAATTAAATCCTTTTTTGATCTGCTTCACATGATTGGCCACCTCATGTGTTTGTTGTATTCCTTATTTGCCATGTCCAAACAAGCATATAATCGAAAAAAGAAGTGATGCACAATGTCGATCTTTTGATGGGAGTGAGCCAAATCACCACTTTTTCAAAAAAAGAAAACAAAAAAAAAGATGAAAAGGAGGTATATTATTGTTGCAAAGGTTCAAGTCAAGAAGAGTTTTTCTAGTTGTTCTTCTTTTTCTTCTGCTTCTAATATTCTTAATTAGAGAACTGATTTTGTCTCTACTTGCTTTCAGAATATCCTTCCAGTTTGGATGCCGAATATGTAAGGGAGTCCACCAGACAAAAAGCTTAACCCAAGGCAAGAACCACTCAAGTTTTGTCTGCTTCTCGGTATACACATACTTGAGCTTTGTTAACAACAAGTTTACTTAATATAAAACTAAGAATATTATCCACTTTGGAGCCAGAGTCTTCAATCTACTTTTGGTGCCAACTTGGTCCAGGTGATCATCAGAAAGAGTGAATGTTTTAGATTTATTATAGTGCTAAATTAGATTATTATTACAATATTTTTCAAATAAATAAGATAAATAAGATTAATTAATAATAATATAAGTCTGACTAAATTATTTTCTATATTTAATTTTTTATTTATACAAATCATATTATTTTTTCTTAAAATAATTTTATTCATTTTTAGAAAGCTGTATTACCTAAAATATTTTATTTAAACAACTCTTAATCAACAAGTGAAAAAAATTTTGAGCATATTAAAGCAGTACATCATTTCACTTCGAAAGTGCTGTTCATACAAAATTAAAAATGCTTAAGTAGCACTAAATAAGATATAGAATAAAAAATTTTACAAATGTTCAAATTTTGTAAAACCCAAAATTACTAAAAAAATAAAATTTTGAAAAAGATCAATTACTAAAATTATAAAAAAATATTGAAAATCTGAATAGAAATTATCCAAACAGAGTAATTCAAAGTAATACCAAATGCTAACATTTACTTTTAAGCATTAATGTAAAAGAAAAGTTAGTAATAAAATTAGCTAATAGGACACCTTGTGTATTACATAATCATATATATAATATAGAAATCTAAATGTATTCTTAAAAGAAATATAGGAATAGAATGAAAGTCTTGCTATTACAAAAGTATGATGCAATATTAAAAAAGTCTTAGTTGTATAATTATAATCTTTAAATAAATTGGAAAACAAAGTCTTCATATAGAAGAACTAAAAGGTGTTTAATATTAATGCTAATGCTAATAAAAAGCTTATTAAATCTGTTACAGTAATAATTTCAAGAAATCAGTTAGTCAAGAAAGCCAAACAAAATGCAAAGCTATTTGTAGTATTAGCTATAAACACTTAAAATGCAACAGATAATAAAAAAATTAATATTCTAGAATTCTTAAAGAGAGTTGTAAATGAGTATCAGAATGTTTTTCCAAAAGAATTACCAAACAACTTATTACTAAAATAAAGTGTTAACTATGAAATTACTCTTCAAAAAGGTGTGACACCTTTATTTGATTCTATTTACAGATTATTATTTTATGAATTAAGGAAATAAAGACAATTAGACAAATATATAAAAAAAGAAATAGTCTATTTTAGTATATTACTTTATAAAGCTTTAGTGCTTTTTGTAGCCAAAAAGGATGATACTCTTTATATATGTATAGACTATAGAGCTTTAAATAAAGTTATAATAAAGAATTAGTACTTCCTTTTCTGCATAGATTATTTACTAAATCAGCTCACTGATGTAGTAATTATATTATTATAACTAACAAGTTATAGAAAATATGTATAACTACTTATACAAAATAATGCAAACTCTAAATAAGTTCTTGTTATTATATAAATCTGTTGAAATTAGGAAACAAGAAGTTTATTTAGAAAAATTTAAGTTAAAAGATAATACAGAACTTTGATGTTGTTATTGTAAAGACTAGATATAGAAAATGAATACCAATATTGAAATACCTAGATAGACAAAAACCTTTGGATAAAA